CTCTTCAAATGAGAATCCAAGCTTTAGCTTTCTTCTCCAAAATGAACCCTAAGTCAAAACCGGAGCTCTGATACCACTTGTTGTGCGCGACGGAAGCGACGACACACAAATTACAAACGGGATTGGAATACTTATCAGCAATGAGAAACAAGCAACACAAATGCAAGACAACGGATTTTACGTGGTTCGGCAAATCTGCCTACGTCCACGGGAGCGGTATAATAATTTCTTATTAATAATAAGAAATTACAAATAAGAGAGAGGATCTCAAACTTGAGATCTCTCAAACAAATAGCAATTGATTTTAGTCTAAAATCAATGCTCAAACTCTCTCTCTCTCTCTCTACAATAACTTCCCCAATTAAATATCACCAACCCTTCTCAGCAATTAATGAGAACAGGGACGGGGAAAATCAAAATCGCAGAGGAAAGGAGAACGTTGCCGTTACTCCTATTCTTCTGCTCCAAAGCTCCGCTCAACCCCAGCTTGAGAACATGGTTTCCCTTTTATAGGGAAACCCTAGGGCACTCTCTCTCCAGCTAGGTTCAGCTGGATCTAGCCACGCGACAGGCCCTCGAGCCCCACGCACACGCAGGCGACTTCGACCTCCAGCTGGCCTCCACTCCTCGAGTAGGCGAACTCATCACGAGCAGGCGAGCTCCTCGCCTTTCTCCCGCAGGCGAGTTCTCCTCAAGCATCTACAGGCGAGATTGCTCGCCTCTGTCCCACCAGCAGGCGAGTTCACCCTCGCCCCCTCACTCTCGCCTCAACTTCGCCTGCAACCTATACAGGCGATCTTACTCGCCTCCTCAACTTTGCCATCGAAGGTCTCAGGTACGATCTTCTACAACATCATCAAATGGGTTGATATCTTAATAAAAGCCACATAAAGTTGATCTTTAATCAGTTATGTTTTGATCCTTTTTTCATCATATATTTGACAATCAATCATCTATTACTTTTTTGTTTTCTACAACCTGCCGGAAGATTTCATGAATTGCAGGTTGCTGGGGGATGCTCATTTGATGAAGAACAAAACTAGCAATGAGACAAGATTTTATGGTATTTGCTAAGATTACTTTCGTAGGAAATGTATTAGCTTGATTTTGAATTTTATTGTGTTTCTGACCGGTAAAATTTGAGGTCATCTTTTTTAACCGCATGAGTTTAAACTGTGCGAGGACTTGGCTCATGATTTTGATGAGAAAATTGTTCTAGGTTCTGCAATGATAGCCGGAAGCTTGTACATTGAAGATAAACTTCATTTTGATTTATCTAATGGATGTTCTCCTAGTATATTTGTTCTTTGTGTAGATATCCTTCATACCGTGTAAAAAAATGTTCAAGGCTGAATCATGAAGTGTTGGAGGTCCACCGCATTAGCAAAGGCACGTAGTTCTACCTACAATAGTTGGAAGGTGTAATGTGATTTCCGGAAAAAACTTGCTTTGGATAGTACGTAACAAATCATTAAAATAATGAAACATTAATGAATGCTTATAACTTCCCTATAATTCTTAAGAGTAAATAGATTTGGTGTACGTGTCACTATAGTTCTTAGTCGGTATTCACTTATATGACACATATTTAGACTTTAACGGAAATATATCCAGCTCATAAGTTTATCATCAGTTTATCATATTGAAACTTCGCCTTACAGGGTAAATAAGGTTTTACGTACATCAAATATGACGTATGATTAGATCTATCAGCTAACAAGTTTTGTACTTTTGGAAATTTAAAAAAATAAAAAAAAAAACGGGCCGGCCTGGAGTTCGGCCTGGTTCGACCCAAACCGGGGTTTGGTCCGAGCACCCCGGGTCCCGGTCCAGGCGACCTGTTTTGCCCAACCCGAACCCGGATTTCCGGGCCTGGCCGAGCCAGCTAGAATGGACAGCTCTAAAGGCCGCGAGATTGTTGAAAACGAAAAGGGCTAATTGTCCACTTTGGAACTTACTAGTTTGATTTTGATATAAGATTCCTGGATGAATTTCTTTCCTTAAGAATCTCATTAGTTTCATCCACGTATAGTAGTTGCGAAAATTTCATCCAGAATAAAATAGTCAACAAAATTCACCTATGGCGTCTATCCATCATAATTAAGCTACAGACAGAAATGAGATTACAGTTCATTTAGCAAAATCAGTTCTTAGAGATAAGTCATGTGGTGATGCTCACCCTGCTTGTGCGGCCTTGGTAAATGTTTGGTCTCATCTCTCTCTCGTCTCTCTCGCTCTCGCCGGGAGGCGACTGACAGGTCGTTGCTGCTCTCTCTCTAGTATATATATATATATAGTATATATATATATATATATAATATATATATATAGGTATATATATATATATATATAGGAAGGTTCTATCTTTATAAAAACCTATTTGGCCTAAAACTAAAAAAACCGGCCAATTCATCCATGTGGATGCTAGATGAATCCAAATGGCTTGGAGGAGTCAGTCAAACAGTCAACAGAACATGCATTAATTAACGGCTCTACGGAACACAAATCTGGATTCAACTGTAGTGAAAAACGTGTTCGGTTGTGAGGTAATGAATCTGGATGCACTACAGTGATGGACGGGTGTTTCGGTTGAGGTAATGAATCTGGGGTTCACTGTAGGGTGAATCGGATTCACTGGCGTTGAGTGTAAATTAATACATGTGTTTTAAATGAGGGTAGATAATGCATGTGGTTCTGTTGACGTGTTTCGACTGAAATCCTAGCCATTGCGATGAAGGAGGGTTTTATTAGTTTTTCAGGGCTAAGGAGGGTTTTATTAGAAACGCTAAGATATATATATATATGATACTATATATATATATACTATATATAGTATATGTATATGATATATTATGTATATATAGTATATAATTATATATATATATATATATAGTATGTGGAGAAAATTAGAGACCTTGGTAGCCGGAAGTTGGTTTAAAAGGCAACTTGGTAGTGGTGTGGGCCTAATCTTAGCGCCCTACATCACACCTCGCAAGAATAGAGTCTAACACCGCTTCACGCAACTCGCATATGTACGATGTGATGGGACAAGAATTTAGGTCAGTATGCACTACCTGAAGTTGCTGTGAGCAACTTGTACGAGTTTTTTTATTTTTCTCGTATGGATAAAAATGGAGATAGATGTAGTGTGAGTGTAGTTGCTTAAAGCAACTTGGGGTGTGATGTGGCTAGATCTGGCCACTGACATCACACCTCGAAGATGAAAAGGCTTCACGCAGCCATTCACTAAGCTCTAATGGTAGAGTGGTAGGGACAGGAGATTAGGAGCCACGATCACTACGGCAAGTTGTTTGACACTGGTACGCGAAAGTTTCTGCCATCTCTCACATCTCTCTCGTGCTCTGTCTCTCTCTCTCTCTGCTCTCTCCGGATCTCTCCTCTCTCTCTATATACGCTATATAGTATATATATATAGTAGATAGTATATAGTATATATATATATACTACTAGAGTGATATATATATATATAGTAGTATTATACTGGATATATATATACTTATACGTATAATAGTTTAATAATCTTTGTGCAAAATTAGCTATTAAAGATAGTCATGTGGTGATGCTCACCCTACTTGTCACATTATAAAGTGGTGGTCTCACCTCTCTCTCTCTCTCTCTCTCTCTCTCTCTCTTATAAGATCATTTTGCTAAATAAGCCACCCTCTCATTGTCATCAATCCCTAACTTAGTGAATTATTTAAAACAAAAAATTGAAGTGATCCTTTTTATATATGTTAAGAATAGAACTTCAGGGAAGAGAAGAGATAATTTTATTCATTGTACTAAAGTGTTTAAATACAAGACCGAGAGAAAAGGTTTTAGTATTCTAAGCAACATGAGACTAAAAGAAAGGGATATAATATGCCTAATAACTATATTTAACGCCCTCTATCAAACTCATGATCAATAGAGAACCACGAGCTTGGGTAAGAAGAGCCAAATTTACATAGATGGTTGTTAGCATGACTTGGTGACAGGTGGTTGAATTGAAGCACATCGGTGGCTGGAATTGCAGGCGACAAGATCATGTTATTGCAGCAATGATCGACGGTCACGCATGGTGGTTGCGAGAGAGCTGACCTATAATCGTGGGAGAAGGCGCGGTCACTGGATCTTGCAAGCGGCGAGATATGGTGTTGCAGCAATGATCAACGGTCACGCACAGTGGTCGCGAGAGGAGGCGCGGTGACCGGATCTTATAAGCATCGGTGAGTGGAAAGCGCACGACGGGAGACAACTTGGCTAGAGGCTGGCCGAGTAGCAAGAAATCTCGCTAAGGAAATCCGTCAAATACCTTGTGTGCATGCGATGAAGCGGATGAACAGTAACCCATGGATGAATAGTGTCATTGTGGCGAGGTTAGGACTAGGATTTTGCTGTGAACGAAGGTTTTAGCGAGTGAACAGTGTCATTATGACATGCGAGGTTAGGGCTCTAGTAGAAAATCAAGCATCCTAGACAGAATTTTCCGTCTAGGATGACTAGATTTCCGTCTAAATTAGTTATCCTATACGGAATTCCGTCTAGGATGTTGGTCTAGTATATTTTCACCGAGAATGCATCATCCTAGACGGTATCCTAGACAAAATTCCGTCTATGATACTATCCTATACGGAAATGCATCCTAGACAGAACAAAATACCGTCTAGAATATTTCTAGACGGAAAAAAACTGTCTAGGATAATCCTAGACGGAAATTCCATCTAAGATGTATCTTAGATGGATGTTCCGTCTAGGATAGTACCGTCTACGATACTATCCTAGACTAAAGTTCCGTCTAGGATACATGTAAACATCCTAGATGGAATTTTCCGTCTAGGAGGAACATCCTAGATGGAATCCCCGTCTAGGATGTTACAGTTTTTTTTTTTTGGGCAGAATCTACTTTGCACAGCATATAATATCACATGGACACAATATAGCACAACACCAAATCATATTCATATCCAACACAATCTAATTATATTCCAATATCAAAGCTTAAAGCGATACATAAATTGTTTACATAGATAATAACTAATTTTCTATTTATATGTTTGTGTACAATCGAAACCGCAGGAGTCGAGAACTTTCAATACTTCTGAGGTTGTTGAGAGATCAGGATCACCAGCAGTGATGTAAGGTATGAGGGCAACCTACAAATTAGGTAAGAAGGATATTAGAGGTTAGCTTAATCAGTGACTGGCATACAATTTTAAAGTCAAAGCTTACAAAACACTACAATGTTAAAGCTAAACCTTAGAATAAATTGAAGAAATGGCGAGCATAGCGACGAAGACCGCAAGAAAAGACGAAGGAACAGGTTTGGGTGCTATCCGGTCGACCGCGTGTGGCGCGACGGTCGACCGCCAACGTGCACGAGGATGAGTTCTGTTCAGTATCAGGTCGCAGTCGACCCGGTCGATCGCCAAAAGTCCAGAGACTCGGGAAAGATTTTGTCGTTTTCGCGGTCGACCGCGCATGGCGCGGCGATCGACCGCGAGTCGGGTCTAAGCTAGGTTTTGGTTTTCAACCCGTTTGTTTCTGAGTTGATATATAAGTCTAATCCTAATTAATTAGGGTTATGTAAAGACGTTTTGAACCGTCTTTGAGAGGGGATTGTTGCATCCAATTGTGAGAGATTTGTGAGAGATCTAGAGGCTTTGTTTTAGGGTTTATTTGGTGAGATTTGTAACCTTATTTGTATTCTCTTGATTTCTAATAGTAAGAACTCCCCACTCATTGCCCCATGGACGTAGGCAAGTTGCCGAACCACGTAAAATTCGTTTGTCTTGCTGTGGTATTGTGTTTGGCTTATTTGGTTGTGATTTATCTTGTGCTTGTTCGTGTGGTTTCGAGTTCCGCTGCGCACAACAAGTGGTATCAGAGCTTCAAGTTTGTCTTAGGGCTTGTTCAAATGATTCGGTGAAGGATTCTTATTTGAAGAGTTAGATCGACAACTTGGGAGAGACAAGCACATCAGGTTCGTCTCTTACGAAGGCGATACAGAGTCTGAGCATCAATAACACGAAGATTGATGTTCCGAAGTTCGACGGCAAGATTAATTTCGGTTTTTGGAGGTGTCAGGTGATGGATGCATTGGATGCACAGAATTTGGAGGAGACTCTTGAGTTACAAGAAAGATCCACTGATATGGAGGACAATGTTTGGAAGAAGATAAATAGTAAGACTTGTGGAATTATTCGGTCATGCTTGACGTCGGATCTTATTTATGACGTGATGAACAAGACGTCGACGAAGAGAATGTGGGAAACACTCAATGAGAAGTATCTTACGAAGAGCGTTGAGAATCGGCTTCACCTGAAGAAGAGGTTTTACCAGTTCAAGATGAAGAGGGAAGTTTCCATCAGGGAGCATGTCAACAATTTCACGAATCTACTTTCAGATATGACCAATGTGGATATCATGGTTGAGGATGAAGACAATGTGATGTTATTATTGTGTTCGTTGCCCGAGAATGATTATGGTACGTTCGTTCTCACTATGATCAATGGAAGAACAACAATTAGCTACAAGGAGGTGACCTTGGCGTTGGTGAATTATGAGCTGAGGAAGAGTGATGGCAAACCCTCCGATAAGGTATCGGGAGATGCATTAGCAGTTCAAGGCCGTACTCCAAACCGCCGTCAAGACAACCGTTTAATGTCGAAGAATAGATGTGCCTATAAGAGTGTTGGTAGAAATCAATGTCAATATTGTAAAGAGGGACATTGGAAGATTGACTGCCCAAAGTGGAAGGAAAAAACCGGGAAGAACAAGGGGAAAGCTGTACAAGCTTCAAAAGTAAATGTTGCAAAAGGTGTTGGCGAACATTCAGATTCAGATTCTTCGGGCTATTCGTACCTGCACTATCGTCGGTTTGCTATGCCAACTCCACGGATTGGATGTTGGAGTCAGGAGCCACATATTACATTTGCCCGATAAGGGATTGATTCTCCAGTTTTGAGGAGCTGAAAAGAGGGGATGTCGTGCTTATGGGTAATGATCATGTATGCCTTATTGGTGGTATTGGTTTAGTCCGGATCAGGATGCATGATGGTGTGGTGAGGGAGTTGAAAGAAGTGAGGTTCGTGCCACAGTTGACGAAGAACATCATTTCTCTTGGTACTTTGGAAGCAGCTGGTTATCGGGTGACCTTAGAGGATGCTACCGTGAAGGTCACGAAGGGCTCTATAGGGTGATGCGAGGAGTCAGGGTAAACTTTCTATACTACTTGAAGGGCAAAACAGTTACAGGAGGTCTGACAGCTTCTATCACTACAGAAGAGGACACTACTACTCTATGGCACATGAGACTAGGACACGCAGGTGATAAGTCCCTGCGGTCACTAGCGAAACATGGGCTTTTGATAGGTGCTAAGACCTGCAAGATGGAGTTGTGTGAGCATTGTGTACTTGGGAAGAAGACTAGAGTGAAGTTTGGCACCGCTATTCACAATACCCAAGGTATATTGGATTACGTTCACACAGATGTTTGGGGCCCTTCCAAGAACACATCACTTGGTAAGGCCAACTATTTTGTCACTTTCATTGATGACTATTCCAGGAGGAATTGGGTATACCCTATGAAGCATAAACATGAAGTCCTGGATATTTTTGTGGAGTGAAAGAAGAAAATGAAGCTGCAGACAAGTAGAAAGGTAAAGACTCTACGTTCAGATAACGATGGAGAGTATAAGAGTGATCCGTTTCTGTAGTTTTACCGGGATCACGACATTAGACGACACTTCACAGTTCGAGAGACACCGCAACAGAACGGGGTGACTGAGAGATTGAATTGTACCTTACTGGAGAAGGTGCGATGTATGATGACGCGGAGTGGATTGCCTAGATCCTTTTTGGCCGAGTCGTTGGTTTATACGAGTCATCTCGTTAATAGGTTATCATGCACTACGATACAGAGGAAGACTCTTTTGGAGCGTTAGTCTGGTTCGGTAGCTAGTGACTATGAGTCGCTTCGGATATTTGGGTGTCCTTATTATCATGTTAGTGATGGTAAATTGAATCCGATGGCGAGGAAGGCAGTCTTTGTGGGATTTAGAGATGGAGTTAAAGGTTTTAAATTATGGGATCCACATGACAAGAAGATAGTTATTAGTAGGGATGTCACATTTGATGAGGCGTACATGATGAGGCCACAAGTTCCTCGGCAAGTGGAGGAAGACCAGATTAGAGAGATATCGCAGCAGGTGGAGGATGATGTGAGTCCACCCACTCCAGATAGCATTGTATCCATTGAGGCTCCTACAGAGGTGACACTGGAAGGAGATGGGATGACAGCCGGGCAAATAGAGGATACAGTGGATTGTGAGACTCAGGAGCAGGATCATGTTCAGGAGTCTGTTGCAGCGAACAAACCTAGAAGGGTGATTCGTCGGCCAGCTAGGTATAATGATGTCATGGTCGCATATGCATTATCAGTGGAGGTCATTGATATGGTTCCATCCACATTCAAGGAGGCAAAGTCTAGCCCCGATTCGATCAGGTGGAGGGAAGCTATGTAGGAGGAGATGCGATCTCTTCAGAAGAACGACACTTGGAAACTTACAATGCTATCTAAATGTAAGAAAGCTATTGGTTGCAAGTGGGTATATGCGAAGAACGAGGGATCTTCTATTGGGGACATTAGGTACAAAGCTAGATTGGTTGCCAAGGGATATGCATAGCTTAAGGGCGTTGATTACAACGAGGTATTTTCACCCGTTGTGAAGCATTCGTCGATTCGGATTTTATTAGCATTGGTGGCACAGCTAGATTTGGATTTGGTCCAAATGGATGTTAAGACAGCCTTTCTACACAGATATTTAGATGATGAGATCTACATGACACAACCATTGGGATTCAAAACTGCAGAAAAGAAAGATTTGGTTTGCAAGCTGAAGAAGTCTCTTTATGATTTGAAACAATTGCCGCGATAGTGGTACAAGAGATCCGATTGCTTCATTATTGGTCATGGGTACACGAGGAGCCCATATGACCCATGTGTTTACATACACAAGCTACAGGATGGTAAGCACATATATTTGCTTTTATATGTTGATGATATGCTTATTGCTTCCAGGAATTCTTCGTCTATTCGAAAGTTGAAAGAGGAGTTGTCATCCGAGTTTGAAATGAAGGATCTTGGAGAAGCTAAGAAGATATTAGGTATGGAGATCGAGAGAGACAGGGTGAAGGGGAGATTGAATCTTACACATAGGAGTTATTTGCAGAAGATGTTGAAGAAATTCAGTTTTAATGGCAATGCAAAAACAGTTAGCACTCCATTGGCTCCCCACTTCAAGCTTTCAGCTAATATGTTGCATGTTTCTGTTGAGGACAGAGATTATATGTCGAATGTTCCATATGCCAGTGCAGTGGTTAGCTTGATGTATGTGATGGTGTGTACGAGGCTAGATTTGTCACAAACCGTGAGTATGATATCGAGGTACATGCACGATCCCGGAAAGGGTCATTGGGAGACAGTGAAGTGGATTCTACGGTATGTTAAAGGCACCGTGGATGTTGGATTGATTTTTCAGAAGCGTGAGAAGAATGGGCAGGATTATATTGGCTACGTGGATTCAGATTAACGTGGATTCAGATTATGCGGGGAATATTGACAAGCGCCGATCTACTTCAGAATATGTGTTTACACTAGCAGGTGCACCGGTATATTGGAGATATACACTTCAGTCTACAGTGGCTCTCTCTACTACAGAGGCGGAGTATATGGCGGTGACTGAAGATGTTAAGGAGACTTTATGGTTGCATGGATTGCTAGAGGACTTGGAAATTACACAGGAGACCCTTCGGGTATATTGTGATAGCATGTCGGCTATTTATTTGGCGAAAACCAGGTTTATCATGCACGTACGAAGCACATTTATGTCAGAGTCCACTTTGTTCGTGACGTATTGGATGATAGAGACGTCATATTGGAGAAGATACACACGAAAGACAACCCTGCGGATATGTTGACCAAAGTTGTTTCAGGTGTGAAATTTGGTCATTGTATGAAGCTATTAAACATTCTTCAGAGTTGAGGGCCTTTGGAGGTCATTTGGGTGAACTACGTTCGGCTTGATTACTTGGCAAGAGGATATGTAGGCAGTCATGTTTGATGCAGCCGGTTGGATTTGTTGATTTTGATGGGGGGAGATTGTTTGAGCTCCCGTTTAGGTTCCCGACTTGTTGTGGATTGAATCCGTTGTCGTGGGTTGTTTCCACTTCATCCTAGACGTAACAGGTGGGACATTTGGATGATTTGGTGTCGGCTCAGTTTGGTAGAAACGTTCGCCGAGGTGGAGAATTGAAGAAATGACGAGCATAGCGACGAAGACCGCAAGAAAAGACGAAGGAACAGGTTTGGATGCTATCCGGTCAACCACGTGTGGCGCGGCGGTCGACCGCCTCAGGTCGCGGTCGGCTGCACGTGGCGCGACGGTCGCCCGCCAAAAGTCCAGAGACTCAGGAAAGTTTTTGTCGTTTTCGCGGTTGACCGCGCATGGCACGACGATCGACCGCGAGTCGGGTCTAAGCTGGGTTTTGGTTTTCAACCCGTTTTGTTTCTAAGTTGTTATATAAATCTAATCCTAATTAATTAGGGTTAAGTAAGGATGTTTTGAGCAGTCTTTGAGAGGAGATTGTTGTATCTAATTGTGGGAGATTTGTGAGAGATTTAGAGGCTTTATTTTAGGGTTTATTTGGTGAGATTTGTAACCCTATTTGTATTCTCATGATTTCTAATAGTAAGAACTCTCACTTCCTTGTCCCGTGGACGTAGGCAACTTGCCGAACCACGTAAAATTCGTTTGTCTTGCTGTGGTATTGTGTTTGGCTTATTTGGTTGTGATTTATCTTGTGCTTATTCGTGTGGTTTCGAGTTCCGCTGCGCACAACATAAATCATAATCATTCAATACACTAACACTTTAGAAGAATTCATAATCATTCAATAATTAAATACTAAATTACCTGTGACTCTGTGAAAACTTCTGGTTCAAACCTTTTGTAAAGTCAAAACGTAATCCTTCAAAAAGCTCGGGTTTCAGAGACACTGCAAGAAACATGGTAAAAACAAAGTCAGTAAACCTGAAACAGCCAAGTTTCCTTCTAGGATAATTTATAGTTTGTAGTATTACATATGTAAACTATTAATACCGAGAGTAATGTAACTTAGTTTAAGTCGGATGTCTGAAAGCACTTATATCACAAATGTTCCCTTCTAGACATATTGAGCAATTATACAAACAAGAATTGGAAACTAAAAAAGAAAAGAATGATTATTGTATACCGTGAAAGAAGAATACTGAAAACACATGAGAGATAAATAGACCAATCATAATCACTTACAATTGATCATAAAATAAATCCATAAGCAATTTTACGGTAAAGAACATCAAGAAACATCACTTTCATAGAATTCATTTTTGTAGTTATCTCCGCAATTGTTATTGGGTTTACGTAAAATTGTTATAAGGCTATTAATGCATTACAAACAAACCCGAAGTCACATAATAATTATGCCCAAAGCTAATTCCACAAAATTCTCTCTATTATAACTATAATTGAATCTGACTAGTGGCACCAGACCTGACATAGTAGAATTAATAGCATAGTCTGTTGGCTTTCATAATAAAGAATAAAAAGGAAAATGATGATCCAGGCATTGGTTTCTATAAAATAAAAGTTAAATATATAACAGTTTTTTGTTTAGCTATTATAGTGGTACAAGCTCATGATACAAGGCAGATGGACACAGACATGCATGCACATACAGAGACACACATGCACCATGTATCCTTCATAGAAATTCATTCTATAAATGCATACCTCAGTATTAACTCCAGCACAAGCTAAGCATTCTGCTAGGCTCTCAAGGATACGGTTAGTTCCTTCCCGTAATGTTGGTATAGCTATTAGGCAATCTGTTGTTTTTGCATGGTCAGTTTCATCACAAAACACCGATAACACCTTTGGGCCTACAATTCCAAAATAAAGGTCTCAAATGCCAATTGCTAAGCAAATACATGATGGTAAAGAAGACTAAACTTAATTAGATGTACCGTAACAGTTATGTGCAATTGTGCACCTTGTAGAATACGAACAATTGTCATATATAGGCAAAGAAATTGCACAAAACAGAACATAAACAAATTCCACCTATGTATTCCCAAGTATTAGGTTGTCGCAACCAGGTTATCTATTCCTATATTATATTGAATTAAAATATATGCACCAACAGCTTTTATGCTGAAAAATATATATGCCTTAAATAAATAAAACAAACTCCCTCTCAATCTAAGAACGTAACCATTCACTAGAAGGGAAATGGCTAATCTATGGAAGCAGAGTCCCAGCTTGTTCTCATTTAAACCGTCAATGTTGAGCGAAACTCTACCGAACCATGGTAAAGAAGGGGAGAGTAAAAGAGCAGAAAATAATTTATTAGGCTGTAAGGAATATCATGGATAATGGCACAACAAGCAAAGATGAAAACCTACAGTTAAGTAAAAGAAACCGAAGACGCACGGCTTGCTTTCTCACGCACAAGCCAATTTCCTTCTGGAATAACTTCGGCAAAAACCTCCAACAGTTGCACGAGTCCAAACCTATGTAATTGTTAATGTACAAACTAATCAGGCTTCTTTTTGAGTAGGAAGACTGCGTCTATGCAGTGAAATAGAAACCAGCATACCTTTCTCTCTCTGAGGGGTTACTTGCCATCAACGTTAGATTCATTACAGATAATGCTTCAACCTGGATATACTCCTCCCTCTTGCTAAGAGCAAGTTGCTGCATCTTCTCAAAAATAAGAATCAACATTTCAAAAGGTATATCCATGCTTGCCCTGGAATTTCTATCTTCATTCACCAAATATGAAAACTTCATATTTGAGGTTTCTGTTGAGTATATTGTATAGGATACTTATGTATCTGGTTTGTATCTAGTTTAGGCCCATTAGGTATTTTGTATATGACGGGTCTGTATCTAGTTTAGGCCCATTAGGTATTTTGTATATAAACCTTTGTATCGTTCATTATTCAACAAGAGAGTTATTTTTCTCATCATGGTATTACAGAGCCACGAAACAAAAACCCTAGCCTCCCTATAATATTTTTTTTCGAACCCACCCCCCACCCCGGTCAACATGTCTGACGACGAAAACAAACGCAAGGCTGCCGAGCTGGCAGCGCAGAAAGCCGCCGAGGCTGCGAAGTCAACGACGTCCGACCACGATTCGGATCACGATGATCCGGATGCAGAAGTTATTTATCGAAAGCTTGATCCATCATCCCCTTATTTTCTTGGTTCCAATGATCATTCTGGAAACATGATCTGTACGGTGAAATTGAATGGTGAAAATTATGAACGATGGGCACGTTCCATGCGCTTGTCTCTGAGGGGAAAACGTAAATGGGGATTTGTTGATGGTAGTATTCGAAAACCGGTGAATCCAATTTATTTGGTTGACTGGGATGCAGTCCAATCAACTCTAGTTCAATGGATTATGAATTCCATTGAGAATCAGAAAAATTCGATTCCTTATTTCGAGGAAGCTAAGCCTTTGTGGGATTTGTTGCAGAGGAGATTTACTGTGAGCAATGGGCAGCGTCAACAAGAGTTGAAATATGAGTTGGCTCAATGTAAGCAGACAGCTACTATGTCGGTTGCCTCCTACTTTGGTAAACTGGAGAAACTCTGGGATGAAATTGACAACTATAATCCTGTTCCTGCATGTATTTGTGGTATGAGTGAAGAATTTCAGAAGAAGAAAGACGAGGCCAAATTCCATGATTTTCTGTTTGGCATTAATCAGGAGAGATATGGGAACTTAGCGTTCTCAATTATTGGCGCAAGACCCGTTACCAACCTTGGATTGGGCATTTAAAGCGATGTACCAGGAAGAACAATTGCAAAAGAGGAATGTTGTGGTGAAATCTGATGTAGATGTGATGACTTTTGCAGTTCAAGGTACCAACAAAGGTACTCCTGATTCTAAACCGCGATTTCTTCCTAATGTTACATGTACTTACTGTCATAGAGTTGGGCATGAGGAAGCCACATGTTATGGGAAACATGGTTTTCCGGAGTGGTGGGGAAATCGACCCCAGGTTCGAGGAAGGAACAACCCCAACAAGGGGGCTGTCCGTGGACGATACGGTGGTTCCGGGCGCCCTCGCCCTCCAGAGGCGAGGGCCGTCGTCTGTCCAGGTGGCAGCGGCAGTGGAGCCGAACCAGGCTCGACTTCAGGTATCCCGGGGGTGAGCTCCGATCAAATTCAGCAGCTTATCTCTCTTCTTGATGGTAATTTGAGTACTGATGATCGCTTGAGTGGTGAGTTTTTGTCCACTTTATGGCTTATTGATACGGGTGCATCTAATCATGTTACTGGCAATTTATCCCTGTTGTCGAATGTTCGTGATATGTCTCCTTGTGTTGTTGGTCTTCCGGATGATAGTAAAGTGACTTCTGTAAAATGTGGGTCTGTCAGATTATCTCATCATTTGACTATGCAGAATGTTTATTTCGTGCCTGATTTATTATGCAATCTACTCTCGGTCTCACATTTGATGGATGATACTGACTGTGTGGTACATTTTGTGAAATATGGTTGTGTGATTCAGGACCAACGCTCGAGGATGCTGATTGGACTCGGTAAAAGGCGGGGTGGACTTTACTACTTCAGGGGTGGATTTGAAGTTCAGGCTAATCGGGTGGTTGATCATCAGGATCCGGTGGTTTGGCATCAAAGACTGAGACATCCCTCAGCTAAGATAGTGAAGACTCTTCCATTTATTTTTGATAGTAGTAATGTTTTGAATAAGACCTGCGAAGTGTGTTGTCAGGCTAAACAGAGTCGTGAATCTTTTTTATTGAGTGACAATAAATCCAGTCATGCCTTCGAATTAATTCATTGTGATTTGTGGGGGCCCTATCATACTTTGTCTTCTTGTGGTGCACGATTTTTTCTGACCATTGTTGATGATTTTACTCGTGGAGTATGGATTTTTTTGATGCGTGACAAAACAGAAGTGTTTGGCTTGTTTACCCGATTTTTAGCCTTAGTGAGTCGACAATTTAATTCTCAGGTTAAAATGGTTAGAAGTGATAATGGTACAGAATTCTTTTGTCTTAAGAATGTTTTTGCTGATAATGGGATTATATTTCAAACTTCTTGTGTGAGCACACCTCAGCAGAATGGTAGAGTTGAACGAAAACATAGACATATCTTAGATGTTGCACGGGTATTAAGATTTCAGGCTAGTTTACCTGTGAAGTTTTGGGGTGAATGCATCTTAACTGCTGGGTACTTAATCAACAGAACTCCATCGAAGTTGTTAAATTTTAAGTCACCCTACGAGTGTTTATTTGGTGTGAAGCCTATGTTTTCTGAATTACGTGTTTTTGGATCTCTCTGCTATGCTCACAATTTAAAAGCTAAGTTTGATAAGTTTGCGAGTCGAAGTCGAAAGTGCATTTTTGTGGGATATCCGTTTGGGAAAAAGGGGTGGAAGGTGTATGATTTGGATACTCATGAGTTTTTTGTATCCCGTGATGTGAAATTTGTTGAATCAGTGTTTCCCTTCTCGAATATCCCATGCATTGTTGATGATAATGTGAGTACATCTCGAGCAGTTGTTTTGGATGAGTTTGAGGAAGGGGAGGAGGTATTGGAGGTAGCCCCCCCTTCGGTTTCACCGACTGAACCACCGCGGGAGGAAGGAGGAGTAACTCCCACGGTGGTGGAACAGCAGACACAGCCCCAGGCTAATGTCGCGACTCCACAACAGCCACCTCAGGCTGTCGACATCGAGCTGCCCGAGCAGCCTGCTCCCGAGGCGATTTCGACTGAGAATTTGGGTAGAGGTTTGCGTGCTCGTACTCCATCTGTTCGACTTCGGGATTTTGTTGTGAATACAATTATTGGTTTTTAGTCCACCCTCCGCCCCCCGATTCATCGAGTTCCAGGCATGCCTCACACTCTGGAACTTCCTATCCTTTATCTAATGTTTTGGATAGTAGTTGTTTTTCATTGGACCACAGAGCTTTTCTTGCAGCTATTTCTTCTGGAGTTGAACCTCAGTCTTTTAAGGAAGCTATGAAAGATGAAGGATGGCGTGCAGCAATGCGAACCGAGATTGAGGCCCTTAAGAAGAATGGGACATGGACATTAGAGACACTGCTACCTGGTAAGAAAGCACTTGGTAGTAGATGGATTTATAAAATCAAGTATCGATCGAATGGACAGATTGAAAGACTGAAGGCCAGGTTGGTTGTGTTTGGCAACCATCAAGTGGAAGGGATAGACTATTCTGACACATTTGCACCAATAGCAAAGATGGTGACGGTCAAGACTTTTCTAGCAGTTGCAGCAGCAAAGGATTGGGAACTACACCAGATGGATGTTCACAATGCCTTTCTGCATGGTGATTTGACAGAGGAGGTATATATGAGAGTACCCCCAGGCTTTGGTAAAGGGAGAGATGGTCAGGTTTGTCGACTTCGCAAGTCGTTGTATGGCCTGAGACAGGCACCGAGATGCTGGTTTGCCAAGTTGGCAGCAGCTCTTCGCAGGTATGGCTTTGTTCAGTCATTTTCGGATTACTCACTGTTTACTTATTCGAAGCAGGGAATCAGGCTGAATGTGTTGTTGTATGTGGATGACCTGATTATTTCGGGAAACAACACAACTGAGCTGGCAGCGTTCAAGAAATACTTGAGTGGTTGCTTCCATATGAAAGATTTGGGAAAGCTCAAATATTTCTTGGGTATCGAGGTGGCCAGAAGTGCAGAGGGTATTTTTCTGTGTCAACGGAAATATACTCTGGATATTATTTCTGAGACAAGACTTTTGGGGGAAAAGCCTGTATCATTCCCGATGGAGCAGAACCAGAAGTTTGGAGCTTCACAGAGTCCGTTGTTGGCAGATGGGGAGCGCTATAGGCGCTTGGTGGGAAGGCTTCTATATTTGGCCTTCACTAGACCTGATTTGTGTTTTTTGATGCATGTTTTATCTCAGTTTTTACAAGCACCAAGGGAGGATCATTGGGCAGCAGCATTACGAGTTGTTCGATATTTGAAAGGGAGTCCAGGACAAGGAATACTTCTGCCGAGAAAGTATGACCTGAAGCTGACAGGATGGTGTGATTCAGACTGGGCAGCTTGTCCTACAACACGGAGATCAGTGACTGGCTGGATGGTGTTTCTTGGGGCGTCTCCTATATCCTGGAAGAGCAAGAAGCAAGCTACAATTTCCTTGTCCTCATCAGAAGCGGAGTATCGAGCAATGGCGAAAGTAACCTGTGAATTGAAGTGGCTCAAGGGACTTCTCCAGAGCCTTGGGATCGATACAAAGGGGCCTATGCAGGTGCGTTGTGATAGTCAGTCAGCCCTGCATTTAGCTCAAAATCCAGTTTTTCATGAGCGTTCGAAACATATTGAGGTGGATTGTCACTTTCTAAGAGATGCTATATTGGAGGGGGTCATCACTACTTCATATGTACCCACGGGATCTCAGTTAGCAAACATTTTCACTAAACCATTGGGCAGACAGCAGTTTGAGTTTCTTTTGGCCAAGTTGGGCATACACAACTTGCATGCGCCAACTTGAGGGGTGGTGTTGAGTATATTGTATAGGAAACTTATGTATCTGGTCTGTATCTAGTTTAGGCCCATTAGGTATTTTGTATATGACGGGTCTGTATCTAGTTTAGGCCCATTAGGTATTTTGTATATAAACCTTTGTATCGTTCATTATTCAACAAGAGAATTATTTTTCTCATCAGTTTCACTTTTATTTGATTATGCAGACCAATAATTCTACGCTCTAGGCTCTGAGATTGGTCCACCAGAACATTGTTCCTGGGCAGAGTACACTGAAAAAAAAAATCATATTTAAGCTCATGAGAATGTGAAGGTTTAGAGGACATGGCAGAAGAATCTACAAGCATAAGGAAAACTCAAAATCCTAATAAGACTGTCAAAGTAGTTGAAGTAGTCAAATACAAAATAACTTGCATGTATCATGGCAAACCATTCACTTCAATATATGGTCAATTGATCTACTCAGGAAAAAATTGAAATGATGTGGCTGAGTTGTAGAGGTAATAACATATTGGATACACCCAAATATAAGGATCATTATAAAAAGTTAAAGATCAAAAGTATGCCTTGAAGTAGGTGCAAGGTCAGTTCCTATCAATTTCCAAGAAACGAAGGCTCTTTAGAGGTTCGATTAGAACCAGGGATTGATCCGCTGAGTTGGTTTTTAGCCATAAGAGCGCCGCTGAGCATCTTGAGGCTCCCGAAATGCGCCGGTATGGAGCCACTAAGCTGGTTCCCGGCCAGAGATCTGGTTACCGACAAGAACAAGATGGCGGAGGAACGAAAGGGAGCTGATGCAGGAGGGGATGGGGCCGGAGACCTGTTTCCAATCGGCAAGGATGAGGGAGTCGAGGCGGTCGAGGCGGCAGAGGGCGGGGGAGAGGGAGCCTGTCATGAGGCCGGAGCGAGCAAGGATAGGGTCCGGGGACTCGCCACGGAGGGAGATGTCGGCGACGCGGCCAGTGGAGGGATCGCAGCTGACGCCGTAGTAGGGAGATTATCCACAATGTAGCTCAATCAAACTTAGTGGATCAGTTGAAGGTGTTTGGATAGGCAGATCCGAACAAGGGACTGACGGTTGCGACTCAACGGCGCTTCCAACCCGAGACCTCGATGACGACGACATCGGGCGTCGACGATGGCCAGGAGCTGAGAGGAGATGGTAAGGAGCGTGTGAGGTGTATCGACGGAGGGATTTGAGAGAGACAAGGAAAAAGATCTATTTTGAGAAGGATTTGAGAGAGATGGGGCAGAGATAGGGATTTGAGCGCGTAAAAAAAATTAGGGAGAATGAAAAAAATTTGGGGGTAACGTTTAGATAAAATTTCCGTCGAGGAAGGATCGTACACGGAATTTTTTTTTCCACATAGGATGATTCAGGAATAACATAGATGGATATTTTCGGTCGATATTATCATCATTTTAGACCAAAATTTTTCTATCTAAGGCTGTGTTTGGGAACTAAGATTCGGATTTGGAAGATTGATTTAAAATCAAGGGATTTCAAATCTAGGATTTAAAATCCATGATTTAATAAAATTATTTGTTTGGATATCATTACTAAAGGCAAGGATTTGAAATCAAAGATTTAAAATCTAATGTTTGGATATATTTTATTATACATAAATTTGGATTTGAAATAAACTTTGAGAAGTGATTCAAAATCAAAATCGATCTCTTCAGTAGCAATCATAAATTCACATGCAAACATCTTATCCTTCATGAATCAGTATGAGAGAATACAAAGATAATAATGATGTCCAAAATATTCATTATTATGAGTCTATGACATTTTTTTCGTGGTTTCATCAATACTAAATTGACCTTCGATCCCCAAAGAATAAAAATACTACTCCATTAACTAGTCATGATAAAAAGACTCAATGACACAATAGAGTTTAGCAAAAAATCCTCATAAGAAGCTCTAGGCTACACAATAAGCCTTCATTTAAAATACAACATGCTATAGATAGTTGATAACCATGATTTGCTACAAGTAACCATGATTTGCTACAACTAGCCAAATTACTACAACATAAACTATTAAAAGAAAACATATGTAGAATCCTCTATTTATCCTTCAACTCTTCTCCTTTCTCTCCATTGTGTCCAACTTCATGTCTCGAAGAATTTATTGAGTCCTACATTACACAATTTAGCATCAATTAGTCAATGACACAAAAATCGACAGACAACATTATCTAATGAATTCAAACCATGCTAAAATCCAATCAAGATGATCAGGATAGTTTTTAATGTTGAACAAATCATAATAACAAAAATTGATAAAGTTTAGAAACTTGAAGCAAGAGTTAGAACACAAAATATGCATGCAGTGTACTAGTTTTATAGGAAAAATGCATGAGAAAAAGCATATGCTACTCAAGACAGCTAAACGGCATATATCATAGCACTTGTCCAAAATGAAATCCAAGAGAGAACTTACCTAAACAGGTTCAAAGATTTGACAAATCTCGTCGTCCAACAAGAAACTATCTCAATGCGTAGACTGAAACCTTTCATGAAGAAAACTGATTAATTTATCATCAGTCGTGTTTCCTTTTCTTCTTTTAATAATGCAAATGTAAAATGAGATTAGGCAAGGATGTACCATATAGAACTACCAAATAGATAAGATTCCGTGCTAATTGATATATGAGACATGTATTCTTAAGAGGAAAATAAAATTACCTCTAATAACAATAGTCATCAATTTTTTTATAATCATATTCAGTTGCATAGCATGACATAGATATACAACAAATGCCAGAAGACTGTCCAAATGCAAAGAGTGAACATATAACCAAAGGCTATACTACTTTGATTTATAAGATGCATATCAGGTTCTTATTTAAAAGTAGAATACAAAATATATCTTCATGTGAATGGCATTATGAACAAAGTAGCAGTGCCACACTAATGTTTGCTATCTGATACAGGTAAATAAAATGAATTCATGTTATAAAGATATAAACACTAGATATTACTTCAATTAGTGCTACCAAATGTATACTCACTATCACCGAACTTCAGGATGATGAGCTATCTAAATCCAACATAGTTTGAAAAATGAACACTTTTCATAGGGCATTATGCGACAACAGGACACACATGTGTATGTTCAGCCAACAGCAGTAAAATAATGCACCACAGTGAAAGTTGTCCCTCATTTATGTAAAATATTTACAGCTCCACTTCATCATCATTTCCAAAACAAAACAAAACAAAACCAAAAAAAAAGGAAAGGAAAAGAATGTAGAGGGGGGAATATAAGAAAGGTTTTTATATATATTCACTAATGGTGAAGGCTCTCTTGGGCGATACTCTGGTAATCCACCCAAAAAAGAAAACACATGCGGATAAAATGTACTTGATAAAAAAAACCAAGAATATGTGCAACCATGCTAGAAGCAATCAAAGGAGCTAGCACATGAACAATTACCCCTTTCCCTAAACAAGATAAACCAAGCTGCTACCAAATGTATACTCACTATCACCGAACTTCAGGATGATGAGCTATCTAAATCCAACATAGTTTGAAAAATGAACACTTTTCATAGGGCATTATGCGACAACAGGACGCACATGTGTATGTTCAGCCAACAGCAGTAAAATAATGCACCACAGTGAAAGTTGTCCCTCATTTATGTAAAATATTTACAGCTCCACTTCATCATCATTTCCAAAACAAAACAAAAAAAGAGGAAAGGAAAGGTTTTTATGTGTTTCATGTAGACAAGCTGATGAGACTCTTGAGCATCCTTTTTTCCAATTCCCATACTCAGCCTTGTATGGAAGAAACTTTTAGTTTGGTTATGGCAAGTAGTGATGAAATGAACTGGTTTTGTGAGCAGGTGGAGCATAGTTCCTAAGGAAAGGATTCTTCATGTTAAACTTGCTGCTGTTACATATGCACTTTCAAACCTAATTGCTTTATTCTCTTCCGTGATTGCAGTACTTGATATAATTCGAAAAGAAGGAAATTTGGACACAAGGGTTGAAGCATATGTGCCATGTTAAACTCATTGCAATCCTTGAAATGGGAAGAAAATAAAATAATGCTTCATCTTCAAAAAGGTAATACTCAATTGACATTACTAAAAATTTGAAAAGGTAATAATCAATCTGCCATAGAATCCATTCTTATATACCAAAGCTAGAGTACGATATATGATTTATGCTCCTCTAGAAATATGATTAAAATTTTTGATAGGAAAGATAAAAAGAGTGAGAGTAAAATTGAACCTTGTCTAATATTAATACTTAATACTAATACTTAAAAGAGAGAGTTTAGACCAAGATAAAAGACGGAGATGAAAGATATGTCTTTAATATATGATTGAGATCCAAGACATAGTGGATTAGCCTTTTTAGTTAAATTGATCTTAGTCTGTTACTATACTTAAAAACATCATCCTATATGATTGAGATCCAAGACATAGTGGATTTTTCAACATACTTCTGTGAGTTCCTACGTTCTGCTTAGGAACTACCCGCATATCCCCATGTTTGTATCTCTTCTCCTTTTGACACACATCAGTGGTCCTTGTTCCCTCCATGCACATCTCCTATTTCCTTCAGTGATATCTGAAGCCGCTTCAAAGTAATTTTTTTATTCGGTGATATCTGAAGCCACTTTAAAGTAATTTTTTTATAATCATATTCAGTTGCATAGCATGACATAGATATACAACAAATGCCAGAAGACTGTCCAAATGCAAAGAGTGAACATATAACCCAAGGCTATACTACTTTGATTTATAAGATGCATATCAGGTTCTTATTTAAAAGTAGAATACAAAATATATCTTCATGTGAATGGCATTATGAACAAAGTAGCAGTGCCACACTAATGTTTGCTATCTGATACAGGTAAATAAAATGAATTCATGTTATAAAGATATAAACACTAGATATTACTTCAATTAGCAACGTTATAAGAATGAATCAGGCAATAAACAATTATGGATGCTAATAAATGATGATGAAAATATTTTGCATCTTCTTCAAACAGTAAAACTACCAGCAAACCCATTCCAAAGGAAAGGATAAGCGGCTAACTTAAATAATAATATCACTGCTGCTGAAGTAAACAAGAATTAAGGGGCATATCAAAGCAAAAACTAAAGACTTATTTTCTTTCCAAATGGCTAAAATCAGGTCATCGAGTCTGGGAGTATTCATCTGTATCAAGTGCTCAGGTGTTCATAGAAGTCTTGGAGTTCATATATCATAGGTATTCACTAGCTAATTATCCACTGAGGGGAAAAAACTGTCTACAGACCAGTCCACCAAACAGAGAAAAGCGAGATATTAAATACAAGATCAAAAGATGAAAACCACAAAGGCATCAAATAATCCTAGAGGCAAGAGAATGCAGAAGGATGTACATGATCAGCTAATTAAGCCCATAAAATTCTCAAATTCATGGACCCAATAGTTTTCCCCCCTTCCTTTTTTAAGACATGAGACCATACGAACCCAAAAAAAATTGTTTTTGCGGTTCCAAATTCATGTGGTGATAAAAGACATCTAACTGCTGTTAGTTGAGATTAAATCTCACCTTAAAATCCCCTTCATAAAAACAACGAAAAGGATCAGAAACAGAAACAGCTCAAAAATCAACGATCAAACTATTACCTCTTTGAGAGGAACCCTCGCGTCTCAAGTACTCGTCCTCGTCTTCTTCACTGGATCTCGAGAGAATCTCCATCCGTCGATTCTTCGAAGTCTACGAAACCCTAACCCTAGGTTCAGAGAGAGAGAGAGAGGAGATGATGGTGGCCGACGGAAGGAAGAGGGGGGGGGAGTAGAGGAGAGGAGGAACAGACTACCTGCGATGGAGAGAGATCGAGATTGAGATCGAGATCGAGATTTTGAGGAGTCGGGACTTCGACACGAGCGTGAGAGAGGAAAAAAAGAGGAGTCGGGGTTTTGAGGGGTTGGGATTGTGGGGATGAGGATTTGATAAATACCAACTACTTTGGTGAAATTTGAAATCCATAGTTTTAGGCTTTTCAAATTCACTCTATAAAATGACTTGATTTAAAATCATGGTTTAAAGTTGAGTCCAAACATGATATTTGGATTTGAAATGCCCAGAATTTCAAATCCAAACCCAAATCAGCATTCACAAACACAGCCTAAGATAATTCGTTTTTTACTAGTGCTAGGATTTTTTTATGAGATGATGTTGTGAGTGATGGGGCGGTGTGTCAAGGTTTAATCTAGTATCATGGCAGCTGAGGAGAAGTGCGGAGTTTTTAGCAAAAACCGCCCGATGGATCAATGTAGAGGAAGAAGAAAGAAGTCTCTGGGATCAAGAGGATGACTCTGATACCATGTTAAGAATAGAGATTTAGGGAAAAGAAGAGACAATTTTATTCATTGCATTGAAGTGTTTAAATACAAGTGCGAGAGAAAAGGTTCTAGTATTCTAAGCGATGTGGGACTAAAAGAAAATGATACAATATAACTACTAACTATATTTAACAATATATTCCCCAAAACTAAAGGCTGAGAATCCTTGGTTCTTAGCTAACAGCTGAGCTAGTGCTAAATGGAATACATAACTCTCTAGTTGCCAATGACATGTTTTAATGTTTGAAAGCTATTCAGTATAATATATATATATTATATATATATATATAATATATATATATATATATATAATAATATAAGAGTATTCATATATATAGATAATGGGTATCCTTGTCATAGAGGGATTGCTCTATGACGCCTCTAAAATCACATGATTGAGCGAAACATGTGGATAATCCGCTCCACTTAAACTTGACTCTACATAGTTTCTAAAGCGCCCAACACACCAAGTTGGGGTGAACCGTCGTCGTTTGACCCTTCATCCATCGTATAAATTTTACGGTTTTTGAATGAAATAGAACTTCTTCACACTGCTCGATGGAGGGTCAAACGCGACGGGTTCACGCCGATTGGTGTTTGTTGGGTTTTAAATATGTAGATCAAATTCAACGGAGCGGATCATCATAATGCTCGCTCAATCATGTGATTAGAGGCGTCAAGGAGGAAATCCCCTCCTATGACAAGATACCCATTAATCTCACTATTATAATATATATATTATACTACTATATATATTATTATATATATACTATATATATAATATATATATAATATATATTATAGTATATATATATATATATAGAGAGAGAGAGAGACGAGACTGAGAGGAGAGAAAACTTATGTCAACTTAAGTGGACATCCACTAAGTTTGATTGAGCTACATTGTGGATAAATGTCCGTTTATCGGTTGACACTTTATCTATATATTCTAAAACCTCAACACACCAAATTTGGGGTGAACTCGTCGTGGTTTAACCCTCCGTCGAGCCATGTAAAAAATTCTATTCATTCGAAACCGTAAAAATTGATACGAGTGGATGAAGGGTCAAACCACGACGGGTTCACCCCAAATTTGGTGTGTTGGGGTTTTAGAATATGTATATCAAGTTCAACAGAACGGATCATCCACAATGTAGCTCAATCAAGTGATCATCAATGACTAAGAAACTTAGTGGACGTCCACTTAAGTTGACACAAGTTTTACTCTCTCTCTCTCTCTCTATATATATATATATATACAAAAAAACAAGAGAGGTTACAGCTTTGAACCATCAGTGCTTTGCAAAAGGCTTAATAGGTTTTCTTTCTCCTTCTTTTGTGGTGTAGAGCAAAATGAGGAAGAAGATTGTAGAAATAATGTACTGCAACGTGCTTCTTGTGAATGAATGACGTGTTTTCCAACTCGTGAAGAGATCGCAGAGGGGAAAAAGGCAAGTGGGGGCCACACTTGGATGTGTCTCATGATAAACCCAGAGCAGCAACCATGTGAAAGGAAGAGTGCTTGTGGGGGCCACGTCAAGCATGAAGAGATCACGTGTTGAGGAGTTTTCTTTGCTACATGCCCACCCGATTTGAGCTTTATAAATATCAGCGTATGTTTATCCTGGGGTTTTGTGCAAAAGAGGGAGAGTTCGGCTGCGTACAGGTAGAGGGAAAATTCGCTATGCAAGGGAAAATCACGGCGGAAAAAGTGCTGAAAAAGAAGTAGAGCCGCCAACTTTGAGAAGAGTTTTGTGCAGTCCTTTGTGCGGCGGAAAAAGTGCTGAAAAAGAAGTAGAGCCGCCAACTTTGAGAAGAGTTTTGTGCAGTCCTTTGTGCTGATTTTGAGAGGGTTTTCAGCATCCTTTTGAGAGAGATTTGAGAGTTAGTTTGAGCGTTTAATTTGTGTGATTGTAAACCCATTTGTATTCTCTTTCTCTAATAGTAGAACTCCCTCCTCCTTGCCCCATGGACGTAGGCAACTTGTCAAACCACGTTAAAATTGATTGTTTGTGCCGTGATTTATAATAGAGAGTTATGGACGTAGGCAACTTGTCAAACCACGTTAAAATTGATTGTTTGTGCCGTGATTTATAATAGAGAGTTTAGGTTCCCTCGACAGGTCAGTCCTAGAACTAATGAGAGGAAGAGCTGATATCCTATTTTGTTGAGATATTTTATTTTTGGTTCTTGTTTCCTTTGTAAAACAGAGATTTAGTTGAGATCTACTCTCTTGTCGAGCACCAGAGGTGCTTCCGAAATTTCCACTGCGCACAACAAGTGGTATCAGAGCTCGGGCTACGCTTGGGTAATTTGGAGGAGTAGATCATTTTGGAAGTTTGTCGAGGGCTTCGTTTGGACATAAAGGTGGGATTTTTACTATTTTTGTATCTCGTTTCCGTCGTGCTGGGTGAGATCGTTCGGAGACTCTTGTTAGGGTTTCAATTGGAGGTAAAAATCTCTCATTTATCAGTTTGGATCTATTCTTCGTTTATTTTGGTGCTTTGAGATAGTTGGCTGGGATAGAAGGATTTGAGGTTGGGATATTTAATTGTTGATACGATACATTGGATTATTGAGGAGTGCTTTGACCTGTATATTGAAGTCCTATGAGTACATTTGTATAAGCCAGAAGACCTAGGTGGAGTTTGGCACTTCTATCCATTGATTGAGAGGTCTTTTAGGTGGTGTTCATTAGGAAATTGGGGGCCTTCTAAGGAGGCATCATTGGAAGGTATTCGATATTTGATTTCTGTGACGCCTCTGGGTTCACACAAGGCTGCAGTCCAAGATGAAACCAGGAATATCAAACCTACCATGCACCACACCGTGTAATAACATATTTCACCATCATAATTACTATCTCTCTAGTAGAGTCAATAACAGGTGTAGGTACAAAAGCAAGTAAAAGATAATACAAGAATCAACTGATGAAATAATAGAGATCAAATTAATATTTCATCATCTAACATACTGAAATACAAGTAAATGTCTGAAATAAATGAACTGGAGTTTCTCAACAAGTCTCAAATACAAAATGTCTGACAAGAGAAAATAAGGCATACGACCTTTACAACTTCTAGAATAAAACTCTCAATTGTCTAAACAAAAGTCTATAGTGGAGCTCAAAAGAAAATATAACTAAATTTACGGCTGAAGCTAAAGTGCATCGCCATCAACCTGCGACTCTCCGGTCTCCTAGCTCGTTACCTGAAAGGGGGAGGGACAACGAGCGTCAAAGCGCTAGCGAGCAATATCACAACCAACCCCAAGGAAAAGGGCTCGTTGTATACAGAAAAATACAGTTATTACATAATAGTTAAAATCATTGATCCTAGCAAAAAATGGGTTTTAATATTTAGGAAATTACAACACGAGCATAGGTACGTCGAGCGAAATAATCCAAACAAGAAAACCCTCATGTATATACCTTATATCTCAAATTGTAAGCCCCTAAACACCAAACCCGAGGTTCTAGTACAGGAACAATAATAAAAGAAATACAACTAATCTCAGAGCATAAATACAGTGCCATTATCATGTTATTACTTACATGAGTATCATGTCAAAATCTACATAAGTGTCATGTCATAAACTACTGTGAGAAAGTCATATGCAGGGTTAAGAACTATGTCCGATACAGGAACTATATACTGTAGTTTCCAAACTCATGTAATAAGTGGCAAATGTCCAACACGGGGACTGAAATGGATTATAGTCCAACACGAGGACTTCTATGGATTATAGTCCAACACGAGGACTTCTATGGATTTTAGTCCAACACGAGGACTGTGAAATTTGTGAAAATGTCGCTGAGATACATAGTGAAATCTACTTATATCAGTTCACACTCAAATCAGTGTGTAAATCCCCAATTTGTACCCTCAGGTCATCTATCATGCATTAATACATAGTAAGATTAAACACCAGAGTCAGACAATCTAGGCAAACACTTGAACATGAGTAAAATACACAGAACAGGGATTTTTGCTCCAGACTATGCGACGGTCGACCGCCCCGGTCGACCGCACTCTGATACGCGTCTCGCGGTCGACCGCCGGCATCGCGGTCGACCGCAGGCAAATCCTACCTCTTCTCCGCGCCCTGCGGTCGACCGCTGCGGTCGACCGCAAAGCAGACAGAAGCCTAAATCTGGGTTTCTGTCAGCTTCGAAACCTGAAATAAAATTTGATGATTTCTCTGATAACAAAGATTCCAACGTCTCTAAAATCAAACAGAAGAAAAACAACTAAATCTAAGCATTTAAACTGCACCCCCAAAACTCCAAATACATATGAAACATATTAAAAACGTTTTGATAACAGTAAATCGTGATTTAACTCTTGTTTAAGCAAATTTCAGATCTAGATCTTCAATAAACAAAACATTGGTGAGCTTTTATAAACTGAAACATTTGATTCTTGCAATCCACATTATAGAGAATCCATCTTTATACAAAAATACCTTTTAGGCTCATTAAAACTCATGAAAATCATTATAAAAACCTTTTAAAACATGGGATAGGGATGGGCGAGAAGTTACTCGCCTGAGGGGTGTAGATGAACTCCCAAAAACGAGTGAGAACGATCCTCCTTCGCTGAACAC